ATGCGTTTTTGTGTCATCCATGTTTTTTCTAGGCGAAATCCTTGATAGCGGTCATCATCAATTTTCCGATAGTGGTCGCTATCAAAGACGCCCTGCAATACAGCAAAAACGTGGCGCTAGCCGGTGTCGAACCATGGCCGCGCGCGTTCAATTTCAGTCCCTTACCTGCTCGACCAAACCAGCTCGAGTGGTTCCCTTTTCAAGAAGGCACTTGATTGTGATGCCTCGGAAGCGATCCGCATCCAGATCAATGGGTCGCCGGATGCTGGACTGAGGCGCGATGAGCTCGCCCCCGGTCCGCGTCGAGTGAGATGCACTGATGGGGGGTTCACTACGGGCCCATGTTTAACTCGTAAAACCTGACATGTTCGTCGTTTTTTTGGCGCTCACCCAGGACCTTATAAAAACGATAACCCCGTTGCCTCCAACTCCAGAAACGAAGTCCAGTTTGACACGAAACCATCTGTGCCGGGCCCTGGCTACAATCACCCAAAAGTACATGTTATACAGCCAAAGACTCACTAGTTATTGTTTCTATTGCTTCTCAAAACGTCTTCTCATGAAAGAACTATCTTGTTTCAACATTGAAGTATAGAAAACTTATATTAATTAGAAGTTAATCCAATGTATCTTTTTTTCGATGAACTACTTAGTTGAAGTCTTTTCTATACTTACGTGTACTACTGGCTTGCGGCTACTAAGCTGATTAGCAGCTATAGGGACAAACTTCGACGCGAGTTGTAACCTCTCAAAACGAGAATCGCAAAAGGAAAACTTTCGGTTCGACGCATGGTTTTCTTCCTGCTTTATTAGTTTAAGCATGCGCGCCAAGTTAGGATCACTATTCTGATAATCTTGACTATATTCAAAAATATGAAAGCTGAACAAAGTTATAGCTTTTCAAATTATAACTTTGCAAAAGGAGATTTTTTTTGCACCAACCTAATAGCAGCCCATTTTATTGTTTTCAGTTGTTAGAATTTCGGGTAGAGAATATACAGTTGTAACATTTTATTGTTTTCAGTTGTTAGAATTTCGGGTAGAGAATATACAGTTGTATAGGCCGTCCGCGCTGCGCTCGAAGAGCAACGCTGTTGCGTCCATTGAAGGCAGTTCATGACTGGAAGAGGCGCAGAGAAAACAGGCGGCGAGAGTGCACGACCCGAGAGGAGTGACGCGTACTGCACACCCTGCGCACTCTCCGCGCCCGACAACCTATAGCATTGGAATTCAGCCAATGTTGCGGAAATTGCGGGATTTAGTTATAACATCTTCTAAAACAACTTTATTTGGAGTCTGCAAATAGATTTGACTTCAGCTTGATGAGACAAATTTTTTAATATAAATTATGATTTACCAATTGCATTGCATCGTATTAGCATGTGTTATGAGATTATCAACATTGTATTGTTGCTCATATGAACAAATCTTGAAAATGATAAAGTAGTATCATATGTCTACATACTGCCTACCGTACCAAACTCAGAGATAACCCCTCCAAGTTTTGTTCCTGAAACTCGGAGTTTCGTACTGCTACCTGCAGAGCCGCCATAGTTGTTGAGGAGCCGCCATATGCTTCATCGCAAAACACTCTGCCGGGCAGAGGCTCTAACTGTAGTTTTTCGGCGCGCCGAGCCAAATACCAGCCCACTAACCATGGAGCCACTATTTGTGAAATGCCGCTATGGATTAATGAATCCCCGTGCTTAAGATCTCACATGTCAAGACACGTCGAGAGGCGTACTTGCCTGCGAGGTACTTGGTAATAAGGTATTACTGCTTCTTAAAGTATTAGCAGAGAACAAACCTGACCCAATTTCAGAAAAAGGGGGAGTAACCTGGGTACGCCACTGGCCAATATTGATAAAATTTGAAAAACCCTATTATTAATAATATCTAATTTTCAAATTTCAAATGAACCATATCTCAATTTCACTACTTCCCACTATCATTTCAAGAAAATCGACTCACAAATAAAAATAAAATTCTAGAGCTTATTTAAAAATCGAGTGTCATTCGAATTTCGATTGACCTTTGAGTAACGTAACATTTTCCAAACATTTTCTTGAGGTTGTTCCTGTTAACAACAACAGAAACTTTAAGAAGCAAAAATAAAAAACCAGTGATGTTATTGCTTCTTTGCCACAACTTTCGCCATTCTTCCTTATACAGTCGATGTCAATTACGTACTCCCTTTCGCATGGGACCTACGCATGCGCAACGCAAGGGCCCTGCGCGCGGACCGCCAATCGATAAGGCCAATTTGCATGCCCGAGCCATACGTGCGCGAACGTGGCGCGAATCTCACTTCGCCTACGGAGAAGGGAGCACGTGATTAACACGAACTGTATGCCCACCGTAACTTACATAATTCTCATCGAAAACGGACAGCATATCCATGATTGCCCTCTCAAATGAATCTCTGGCGGACTTCAGGCCAGTTTAGTCTACCACACCTATTGTAATCCCATCGCGATCCTGCAGTGGGAAATAGAACATATTCAAGGGTATATAAATAAACAACTCGCCTAGACAAAGTTTTAAGAAGTTTGATATTTTGATCCATTCACTGTATATCCATTGTGACTATATCCATCCTATGAAAGGCACTTCTTTGCGGCTATGATATTCGTGACCAAAGTGCAGAATTATTCCACCAAGCCAAGTTTTATTGAATTCCATGATTTTGGCAAGTCTACCGTAACTCCATTATTATTCAACAATGCAGTGAATAATGGGCGATATGGTCGTGGTCGCCACATCGCACAACGCCATTAAGTCAATTTTGAGTCTATTATGTGAGCTTCTTCACACTACCATATTCTTACCGTAACCGCTCTATCCCTCCTTAGTGAAGAATGAACATCATATTCGCAATCAGCCTAACGAATAACTCCCTCAGACCAAATTTTAATTGACCGTGATATTTTCCTGTCCACAGTAAGCCTACCGTTACCCCGCCCTGTGGTCCTATAGCGAAAAATTACTGTAGTATTCGTGGCCAGCGTGCCAAATAACTGCACTGTACCAAGTTTCGGCAAAATTCGTGATTTTCGGTCTACTACCGTATCCTTTTCGTATTTTCGCTATGTGGGCTAATGGCGAAAAATGAACATCACAGTCGTGATCAGCGTGCCAAATAATGCCAGGATACCAATTTTCACTCATTTTAGTGATCTCGCCCAACTACTGTATCCCTACCGTAACCTCGTCAAATAGACGCGCAGTCACAAATGAATGCCATATTCGTGATCAGAGTGCCGAATTATCCTAGTGCACTAACAAGGGAATGGTCAGAAATCGAAGTATCCAATTCAAGCAAGCTGCATACCATTCGATGCAGCATAGAATGCTAATTTCAGATCTGTCTTCCTTATCTGCAGAGCGCTTTTGTAGGCGAAGTTATAAGCCGTTGAATGTCATCATTTTGCTAAGAAATTGTGCGTGTAAAGGTCAAACTTGGCCATACAAAGCCATTCTCGGCTCAGTGTTGGACCAAAACGTGTAACTAGGTCAGTTCATATGGCTCGTACCTAAAGGTGAGCTAAAAGAGCAGTGATCTGCCTAATTTCGCAGTTTTTGTGGACGATTTTTTCGCAGTAAAGCTGCTCATAACTTCGCCCACAAAGGCGCTCTGCAGATATGGAAGACACATTTGAAATCAGCATTCTATGCTGCATCGATTGGTATGCAGCTTGTATGGATTGGCCACTTCGACTTCTGACCATTCCCTTGTAAGTTTCGAAAAAATTCGTGATTTTCGCCCAACTACCGTATTCTTTCGTATCCTCGCTATATGGGCGAATGCCGAAAAAAGAATATCGTATTCGTGATCAGCACGTCGGATAACCCCCGAGACCAAAATCTTACAAAATTCTAAATTTATGTGTTCAACAGTGTACCGTGATATCCCCATCATGCCGAAGTTCGGAGCAAAATGTACCCGAAGGACTTTTTAACTATCCCTCTTCCATCGGCACACTATCTCTCTTTCTTTGACCAAACTCAGAGTTAATTCCGAGTTACGCGGGGCCTGAAACGCGCACCAAACTTACTCGTGCGTAATTAGTTACGCTGTGTTCCCACACTTAGGACAAACTACGTCTTGCGAAGTTTCCTGCCATATCACGCTTTCTCCATATTGGTTTCTTTATGCAAGTGTTAATGGGCCCTCAAAGGTGCGCGTTAACTCAGAGTTAACTCTGAGTTTGAGCTGCGTGTTTGGACAGGTTTACTACCGACTCTAATATACAAAAGTGTCTGGTTGGACACAGTAGGAGGCCGGAATCCATGAATCGTCTCAGTTCGCTTACGATAGGTTGGCCAGTGAGTGCAATGAATAAGTACACTGAACAATTTACCGTAAGCAAAAGTCTGAAACGATTTATGGAATCTGGCTTCCTACTGTGCCCAAACACGCTCTTCAATAAATCAGAAGGTGCGCCGCGCGAGCTGAGTCGAAATTTGGCGCCATTGGATTGAGACTTCGTCCATTTTAAGCGAGAGATGGCCACGCTACAGTGATGTCACATGAATAGGGCGACTTCGCGTCTTTTTTCCAAAAGTTACGAGGGTTATTGCATGAGTTCACGGGTAGACAGAACAAAAGCCGCCAGTTTGAACCGCCTCCGCGGACAACTGGTCTGGAACGACATGCGACGACGATGCAAAAGGACGTTCTTTCCCCTACCCTAGTTCACTTGCGTGAGCTGAAACGAGCAATCCAACTTTAGAGAGATAGAAATAATTATCATCATGAGTGCACCAAAACAAAGATTCATCTAAAGTCAACGGGAAGTATTGCAAATGAAGTCCTTGAAATCCCACTGGAGACTTCTCGAAGACTCACTTTCAGAAGTTTCCGAGGGCTTTGGACTAACTTCCCGAGTTGACACTAAGAGAGTTGACACTTCTTCCAAAGTCCTCGGGGAAATCCCCGCAAATCTTCTGAGGTGAGGTAGAACGGTGTCGAGTTTGAAGTAGAGACGGATGGCTGAACTATGAATCTCGAATGCTCTGGTGACGATGCATACAACGTATGGGCATTTTTGAAGTTTAAGCAAATTAAAAAGAGCGACCTTGGAAAGGTAAATAACTTTTGTTTGTTCAGCAACCAAATACATACCAGTTGAAGATATTTGTGATAGAGTGTGTTTCAAAGTGCATCTAGTCACTTTGGTTTTAGATTCAGAAGAACCATTAAAACTCACAAAGGGTTTTGAGCTATCATAGTCGTCCTCCCCCCCCCCCCCCCCTCCCCCCCCCCCCATTAGACACCTAGTGGACGAATCCGGACTTGAAATAGAGTACTCTCGGTGTGCAGGGCGCGACGCCGCCAAATGCATTTCAAGCTAATGCAGTTTTCTTTTGCACTTCGTTGACGTCGAATTGTGATTTTTTTAATGACGATTAAAAAAAATGGTTTGGTTTTAGATTCAGACGAACCATAAAAACTCACAAAGGGTTTTGAGCTATTACAGTAGTCCTCCCCCCACTAGACACTTAGTGGACGAATCCGGATTTGAACAAGAGCGCCAGCTGCTGCAGAGCGCGACGCTGTCGAATGCATTTCAAACTAATGCACTTCTCTTTTGTAATTGCTTGTCGTCGAAATGTGATTTTTTTAAATGAAGATTAAAATCAGCATTCAAGGGTTTTTTGTTGCTTAGCGATATTTCGTACTACTATACTCGTTTTTTTTACTCTGCTTCCAGGAAATATCGGAAAAACGATGCACATAAAGAATTTTTGACGTGAAGTATTCAATGAAGCGACCTGTCAAAACCTACTGAGAAGAATTCACCAGTTTTTAAACTCATTCGTTTTTCTAAGCTCAACCTGGAATCGTAGTCAAAGAAACGAGCATAGCAGCAGGATCCATCGCTCAAATAAAAGAAGCAGTTTCAATACGAATTAAGAAAACTGTCAGCATTCAAAAATTAGGTTAAAACGTCGCTAAAACGCAAAAGAATTTGTTTGCGATTGAAGTGGGAGCTGCAGGTGCCGCTCTCTGCGACAACCGGCGTGCTTTAGTTCAAATTCAAATTCGTCCACTAAGTGTCTAGTGGGGGGAGGACGAATATATTAGTACACTATCAATTTTGAAAAGCTTTGAGAGACGAAAAACTATAGTTGATAAGGGAGAGGAATGGAGAGTAGTATGAACAACTCACTTTTTCAATGGCCACAGTTCCTTGATCTTGGCAGTGCTTTGAGTACGGTAAGGTCCCACAGAAAACCATCACCTCCTTAAAATAGCTGTCATTCCTGGTTATGTGCCTAGGCTTTTCTAAATACTTTATCATGAACTTTAACGTACATGATCCGAGCTTCATCATGGATGATAGTCCTCAAAAAGATCTTTATATCGGACTATCAGCTATAGGCAAAAAGGCAAAATCTAGTATTTTTGCAATGCATCTTTCACGAAGGTGCCTCCTCAAACGGAGTAGTCCTATATGAAACTGCAACGCCTGCTGATGGTCTTGACGGCTACATTAGGGGTCTAGAAAAAAATTGCTTTGTGCTGTTTTCTTAAATGGAGTAAAACACAACATCTCTTTTCTAGACTAGAATCTTCTGAAATAGTTTGGCAGTGTAGTTCATTATAACTGTAAAAGACCACTATATCATCTTTATCCATATAACACTTACTGGAACTGCATATTATAGAGGGTTATAGATCTGAATATTGAGGGGTAGAGGATAGTCAAATGAACACATTTTAACGCAAGCAGGACATTCCCTGTTTAGTGAAAATGATTTCTGGTACTTGCACTATAGATACATGTGATGTTAGTTTATTGTAACAGATTTGACGTCAACTTCATGAAATACCGGAGTTTTGGCAATTCAGGTAGTTGACCACATCCTTAGCATATAGGGAGGATGTGGGTGATGAGTAATGAGTCCAAAAAGTGTCCAAGGCCTTCAAATTAGTACAAACATCTTTCGTGATTGCTATCGTCATTACAATTATAGAATCACAATTACAATTGAAATCTCATGTAGTGCTGTCCTTTGGCTGATTATTACGTGCGGTTTCTCATTTCTTTACTATGGTGTGCTCAATCATCTTAGCAAGAATCTTACCCTTGAAATATTCCAGAAGTCCAAGACAACGATAAATGAAATAAGCTACTGAATTATGGATAGGATCGGGGCGGGTAAGTCGATTAGAGTACAAAAAATATTTTCTTTATTAGCTCGAAATCAAATCTGAATAGTGACTGCATACCATTTTTTCTCAGGGTAATTCATCGTATAAAGTTCCTCAAACGTTATTAGTGAACGGAACGGTTTGCTCAAATAGATACAGATGAATAACCCATGTGATTTCACAGTTCAAATAGTGCACAGTTTGCTCAGTTGTCCTCTCAGATAACACGTTGTTTTAGGCAAATAATAATTGTCTTTGTTGATCCAGCTAGTTGACCTACGCTTATGTTATAAAAATGGGCAGAATCAGCGATATCCAAATCACTTCTTTTGAAACATGTTCAGAATCCTAATTTATGGGACGGTTCGTGGCAGTTTTCTTTCACATTTCATCTTCAAGCTCAACCATTTTAGGCATTGCTACTCTTAGCAACTGTTCGTGCTAAACCTACACGTATGTTCAATCTAACTATTTTTATTTTTAGCTAAAGAGTCCTCATTTTTCCTTTATTTTCAGCCTTGGAACTCTATGCTGAAGCAAAGGTGAGATAAGATTTTATCACAATGACATTTTCAAGCATCATATTGAAAATAATGGAATTTCGAAAAAATAGATAATAAGCGCAGACCACTAACTTTCGAAAACCTTGATATCTGTTTTCAGAATTCACAAGAGCTTGACCCTACTGAGGAGACGGTAAGGTTTATCATAAATACCATAACAAGTTCAGCTTCTCGGCTTAGTTTTCGGTCAAAAGTGGGACATTTGCGTTTAGGATCACGAAGAGGATGTTGATACTGATGATGCCTTCGTTGAGGTAAGCTGATACTCCCAAATTCTGTCTGCATACGATCAGAATACTACATGAGCTTGAATAGCTGCCAAAAAACTCGATTCATAAATAATTGCTTAGTTCAGTCAATTTTTCCAGACTGTGGTTGAACAACCTGAAGAGGATGAGGAAACTGGTGAGGAGGGTGAAGCAGAGGAAATCCCAGCTGAGGTGGCTGAAGCTGAGGAAAATGAAGAAGAGGTGGGAGCATACCTAAGGAAGTTAGTAGTAACTACGGCAAGATACAGCAAAGTTTTGACCGTGTGATGTGTTTTCTGTTAGCCATATAAAGATAGAGAGGTAAATCACAGAGTCGAAGGAGAGGTAAATCATGTTCAGGCGCCTGACACTGAAGAGGAATCTCTTGCAGATGAAGAAGAACCAGAGGAGGTGAGTTAGTAAGCAAAGTACATTTGCAAAGCCTAATATTTAGATTGAGATTTGAAAAATCGACATGCATTTTAGGCACCTGTTGAAGAAGGAATTGTGGAGGGTGAACCAGAAGAGGTTAGTATGAACCTTTATCATTTGGATTAAGAGTCTAGAAAAATGTAGAACTTCTCTCACTTTTTTGCCAAAGCAATCGCTAATATCACAACTGCGAAAGAGCGTTAGAAAAGTAAAGGAATCATCTTCAGCCTGTGAGTATCCAGCCGACAAAATAATTGATAAAAAAAATTTACAGTGGCCCTATTGTGGAAGTTTCACCAAAAATTGTTACAAGTAAATAAGTGACTATTCAGGAAGTCACTGAAGAAATTGAAGAAGTAGAAGAGAAAGCCTCAGTAAAACCACAGTCAGCTAAACTGACACTGGCTAGGAATAATAGAAGAAGTCCGCTTACGAGAACGAACGCATTAAAAAACAAGGACGATTCCGCACTGAAGAAGCAGACGAAGGAAGCAAATGAGACGATGAAATTAAAGAAGAAGATATCAAAGGAGAAGGAGGAAAAAAAGAAGGAGAGCGGAATGGCAAAGACTAAAAAAGTGCTCAAAAAAACAGCCACGAAGGCAAAGGAAGCGCTCAAAAGTGGGGCCTCTAAATTAAAGGTAATCATCATTGTTTGTTTATAATTTCAGTATCCAAAACATTGATTATCTTACAGAACGCTTTCAAGAAGTTATTCGGTTAAAACACACATGATACGTGTGGTGGGTTCCCTTACGCTTATGCAAAGAAGAATTTTGCTTCAACAAAGTATAGATCAAAAGCAGACAGATTACAAGCGCAGGAAATAGTTTTTTTCCTGCTCTTGTGAGTCGCCTGTTTTCCAATGCACTTTGCAGGGAGAAGTTTCTTGCTTGCAAACAACAATTCGTCCAAAACTGTTTTCAGGCTGCAACAACCGAAGCTTATCTCATTTATCATGGCTGCGTTTCCATGACAGATGTTGATCATTTTATTGTTTCACAACGAATCAATAAACATAAGAAAAAACTTGATTTATGAAGATAATTTTTTGCTTATCAAAGCTTAGTGATGACACGCATCCTGAAAATGGCGAATATTTGCAAATGTTGAGCCATTGACTAAAAAATGGCCATATCTGTAAGCAAGCGGTTAATATACAGCTTGAACTTTTAGGAGATGGACTAGGCGCACATTTATATTCTGCGTTCAAAAATATTAGGCTGGTGTAAAAATGATGTCCTTTTTCCTAAGTTTATTTTCCTAACAGCTTTTTTCCATCAAATTTTTTTTTCGACAAAGATTTTGCACTGAGAAGAAATCTTTTCTTCGTATACACTTTATAAGAGTGGTGCAATTAGGCTTCTATCCTCATCTGTGAGAATTTCACTAGCATTTTGCACAGCTGCAAAATCGAAATTTCATTGCCTTCACTTCCTTGGCCACAATCCAATCACAAATAAACGAATCCTTTGAAAACGTAACTACTATACGGGATGAATAATGTTTACCTATTGAATGCTCAAGCAGATTTTTCGGAAAATATGGGTTGAGAAATCAACGTCCAAGATAGATACTCGCCTGCTGGCATTTTATTGGTAGGAAATTTCTTAATTAAGGCAATCGCTAAAATTCCGCTCACTTCTGTAAGCTTGAGAAAAGGACATCGTACCTACAATTTTTGCAAAAGAACATAGCTATTTAGCGCATGAAGATTTCCAAATTTTCATAATCTGGAACTTTTAGGCCTACTACGAGTAGGCTCAAGATAGTCCTGATTCAAATCTTTTTTCGGAGAATTCCTCAGCTGATATTCTATACAAGCGCATAGATTGCGGCTACAAAATAAGCTGGACAGCAATAGGGACAAAAACCGAAAGGAATATAATCTTTTGAACTTTTGAATACGAAGTTTGCAAGAGAAGAACTTTCGTTATTTGACGCATGGTTTTCTTCCTTTTTGGAATATCACTATGAACAGGTGCACGCTAGGTTAAAAAAGGATAACAGATTCTGATGGACTTGACTACATTCAAAAATATGGCTGAACAAAGTTATAGCTTTTTAAAGTGAAACTTTGCAGAACGGACATTTCTGCACCAACCTAATAGTAGTATATTGTTTTTAGGTGTTAGAAGTTTTCGTAGCTGGGAACTTTGAGCAGCGCATCAAACAAGTAGCCATTCCGGATTCCATTAACTTTGGTTTGAACCACGACTACCACTGTAAAGAGTTAGATGCAGAGCTTACCCAATAGTGAGCACCGTACCAGCTGAAACTTCTTGGGCTATGGGTGTTTAGACGGACAACAACTGACTAACCGGCCACGCGAAGTCGCGAACAACCTGTTAGTTTTACTTTAGAAAAGGGTATCGTGTAAAAACAATGCACTCTTTGGGTTTTTGGGGGCCTTTTTGTGTTACGTCCTTGTTAAACTATCCTTTGCCTAAACCCTTCTAGGGCCTTATTTAACAAAAGGATGTTTTCGTAAACATCGCCTCAAAGATCCACTACTGAACTCAAACGAGTTGTACTATGGCTCCACACAGAAAATCTAGACTCTGCGTGAAGATCCCTTCATGGTAAATGCACACGATCTGAAAAGCGTCTCATAACATCATCTTGCGGACTCTGCCACGGCTCATTTCATTGAAACTACAAACAATCAGAAAAACTATGATTATTTTCCAGCGAAAGTCATGATTCAAGGAAAAATGCAAAACATGCGATTTATTAGTATGTTAGATGTGCCTAAGCATGAAGATGATGCCATCCAATAGGTTGCTTTGCTAAAAAAAATCGTGCTTCGTTTTCGTCGACAAGTCCCGCGTCATCTCGATTTTTCCTACTTGAAAACAACATTTGAAGCTGATACATGTAAGAAAAAAAGGAAAATGATTTCATATAGTAGCTAATCGAATTATCATTATTTCTTTCTTCAACCTCCGTTTGAAACGAATATCTTGGCAACAACAGATTATCCAGTATTGTGGATCCACACTGGAAAACCGCAAGATGCCCCCAAGCGTAAAGAAGTAAAAGTAAAAGTTGCCATATTTGTGTTTTTATCTTTCTATCACTAGTCAAGGTAGACCTCAGTTTCAATCATGAAAGGAACAAAATTCAAGATTGGACTAAATGAAAAATCGAATGCAAATCCAACTGGAACCATTAACAAAAGCCACAGCTTCTAAAACATTTTATGTGTGTACCATTAGAAGTGTCCAACCGCACTACTTCATTCGTTCTGCATTCTGCTGTGCTTGAGAGATATTCTTGCAGTTTTCAGTCATTAGAAACGACTTAGAGTTATTTAAGTGGTACTTTTATAGTTCGCGGTTGATAGAAGCGACATCGAGCATCTTTAGGTGCATAATCGCACGGAAAAAACCATTTTTTTGTTAAGCAAACGCGACATGGATATCTAGGATCATTTGTGAAGCTTTGGCTCACCTTGTTTTAAAGAAGACGCCCATTTTTGTTGTAGTGATTCCTCAACTTTTTACGTTTTTTTTGCAGCTCCAGGTGCGCATAGATGCGTACAAATTGTAATGCCAGTACAGGCCCTATTGCCGTTCTATACTTTCAGCCTAGCTGCGTTCAGGTCAGTGGATTTGACACAGCAACGAAATTTGAATAAAACAATTTTTTGCGTATGTGTTGAGCATTCCGTGTCATGCCTTCCATCGCTGCTTCCCGGTCTGGAAATGAAGAGAGTGCGTCCAAGTACGCAGCGCAAGGCTCGAGCAAGGCGGTCGCGGCGACCCAATCCGCAAGAGGGTATGACAGTGACACGAGACAGCGCACACCACGGCGGTCCCACCGTTCGAGGGTGGGGGTGCGACAAAAATTCTTTCGAATGAAGATGCGTCGTCAGTCACGCACCCTGAAAAACTTTTGGGATGCTTTCCAGAATTTTTACGGGCACATAACCTCAAGACCTCATAAAAAGAGGCATGGTGGCAGCTATCCCCTGAAAAATTTTTCACAAGGCTAATTTGAGTTTTTAAAGAGTGTTTCCAATTATTTCAATTATTTGCAAATAATAGTGAGTCATTTGCACATTCCTACACCGCTGTATGTAACTCTCAAAAATTTCGCGACCCATTCTCAGGAGGAGGTACCCCGTTCGCTCTGCCCCCTGCGCACACATGAGATATGACTGGAAGTTCATGCTTCATCGGTGATCAGAAGCTTCAGTGGGCTATTATTTATAACATCCTCCATTGCAGCTTTATTTGGAATGTTCATTTTTGTCGAGTAAGGGCAAAAACTGATGATTATTGGCAGTAAGCATGACTACAACTCTGCCCTATATTAGTTTCAGTTGTTAGCGTTATTTCATTATAAATCTGCTTTTTGCCAAAACATTAGAACACTCGCGGTTATAGTTACCTTATTAGTTTTAAATTAGGATTTTCCTCTCATCCCCCATGCCAAAAAGTGCGGCCATATCTGAACACCACATTTGCAAGCTTTTCAGTCACCGCACCCAGCGGGGGAGAATTACTCAATCTTTACAAATTTTTCTTGGTGGCTAAGAGCGCCGCTGATGGAAAAAACAGGCGGTCTAAAGAAATGATAAATGATAATGATCTGATTAATAAATGTTCGTAAGGAGTAACAATGATTGTATTCTGAAGCTCAGAGCTTTTTATCTAAGAACTTCTGGTCTGCACTATCGCCGACGTTGATGAGTCATCTTTTCCAGACGAGTTGAGCTATGACGAAGAGACGCGCGACGGCATAGGTGAGTGTGCTAAAAGCTGGAACTCGTTGCTGATAGAGGCGGTCGGGGCTACCAAACACGGATCGGAACTGACAAATCAGCTAATCAGCTCTTTCTTCTTGCTTCTTCGATTGCCTTACCATCGCTGCGCCTTTAGCAGCAGCATCAGCAGCAGCTGTCTACATTTGAAGTGTAGAAGAGGAGAGACCGGTTAAGTGGGATAGCGGCCTATATCGCCTTGTTCGTCGCCCCCCGCCATATCCCGTGTTCGCATCTGTGACACATCGCACTTTTAAATAGTATGTGTCGATGCCGTCACTTTGACCTCTTTCTCGGAAGAAGACCTTCGCGCTTTCGATTTTTCTTCTATCGGAAAAGTTTCACTAGCTTTCGCCCCAACCCTTCTCCGCTCCACCGCCTTCATCCTTTTTATCCCCATCTTCAACCCGATCCTTTGTCTTTTTTTCTTATGTATTTGGTATCGATCACCTAGAATATCGTTCTGATTTTCTACAGATGCTATTTTCGGCACGGACGCCGACATGGATATTGCTGTGTGTTTTTCTGATAGACACAACATCCGCGCAGGTGAATCCCAACCATGTGTCCATCAATGAGAAGCGGAAACACATTGAAGCAGACTCCAGTTGGCTTGATAAGCGCCAGCAAGAAGTGCAAAGGGTATTGTCTTGCATATCGATTGAATTTAGCTAAGATGTCTTAAAATTCCATTTTAGGTAGCACTAGACGCTTCCAATAAGGAAAAAGTCATTCTTGATCTCTTAAACTCACAACAACAGTATTCTGCCTCTGCTTCCGGTAACGTCGCTGCAGCAGAGACTTTTGACGGAAAAAGGGCACAAGTCCAGAAAATTGGCGATAAAGGAGGCATTGCTACAGTCGATGGGCACAAGTAAGAGCTTCTTGGTCTGTGTCTTACAATCAAAAATTTCTATCAAGTGATTAGGGCCCAACTGAGAACGAAAGAAGACGAGACAGGACGACATGCTTACCTTAAAGCTGACGGAAAGTACGATCTGGATACGGTAGCTATAGGAGATTTGAAGGACCCGGCTGTACGTAGACCTACATCTACTTATATCCACTTCAAGCTAGGCTATTCTTTTCTTTTCAGAAGACATCTTTTGCTGCCACAAACGAGCGCTTTGACTTCAATCTGAATCCCAAAACCCATGATAATCATACTGGAACGGGAACACTCGGGTTCAACGATAAGGTGGGAACAGCATTGTACGAATTTCTCTACCTTTAGACGCTTGAAAAATTAACTAGACATAGCAAAGCACGATGCAAAAGCTTTCGAAAGTCAAGGTTTTTCACCTACCATTTTTCTCACCGTTGTCGGAAGCCCTGATTCCTCATTTCCGTAAAAGATTCAAAAATTTTCTAGGAAAAAGGCAAGAGCGGAAATTACGCGTACACCATTACACAAAACGGAAAGAAGACCGATGCAACGCTATCCGCGCACGACATCGGCGCTGGAAGTTTTGCGGAAAATTTATTCGGCCGAAGAAGCGAAAAATATCATTGTACAGGTAACTAAAATTTTAGTTGCTATATTGCAATATTTTAAAAGACATATTACAGCCGAAACACCCGGAGTTTCTCAGTGTTATGATGCCCAAGGAAAATCTGTGGGCAAGGTAGTTGCTGATAAGAATGGAAATACTGTAGTCTATAACGACAAAGATGTCCCTATTGGGACCGGATCAGTAAAGAAGCTGGGACCAAGAAGTTACGAGGTGATTTTCATATTTGTGCTGGAGAAATTTTCTTAAACATTATCCTTATCTATATCTCCAAAAAATTGTATTCGTAGTCATATTTTGCTACCTTTCATATTCTGCTCGAAAATTCAGCTCCAGTTTAGGGAAATTGGTACTTCTGAACACGTGACACATTGATTACTTTCAATATTCGTCGCCAAGTTTTTCATAGGATTTTTTTCGAATGCATAGAATATCCAACTCGTCATACGCACAGCTACACCCCTAAATTAGCTTAGGTTACTATATCGTTTCTTATATTGTCTAGTGATCATATTAGCGGCTTGGAACTAATGTTGGAAACATCTTACTTGGCTTGAGCATAAGTCTTTAACATAGAGAACAGGTTCCTTGATTTGCCCAACTGGATCTGATAAAGATAAAGCCAGAGAACACCAAAGCTCAAGCTCACCAAGGACTCAGGAAAGATCTTCCATAAATGGGGACAAGAGAAAGTTTGCGCAGAAATTTTTTCCGGACTTTTTAGCTTTTATGACCTTACGTCAGACGGGTTTGAGTCATAAATGCCTTCTTTGCGCTTTATCGTTCTGGGAAAAAATGTCGCATGTTGTATCTCTCCATATTAAACCCGAAAAAGGCCAAGCTTGTTCGGGACATATCCAATTACAGGCTGTAATATCGAAGAATTTGTTCATCGCCCGCATGAAGGACGCTCGTTCTCAAGCATGCTGTCGTGAAGTGTCAGGTCATGAATGTACACAGCCAATCAAGCTTGCAAATCCAACGGCAAGAACATTTGAAAAACTTTTCTCAAAACTTCCCGTCTGGCAGGACCGTCTGAAAGTTCAAATCTCGTTTTAGTTCTCTCATCCTTCAAGTCGGGATGGCGATGGTACAGTACATCTCACATGGCCAGATTGTTTTGATATGGGCATTGATGTGACGCTACCACCAGGTATGAAAGAAATATGTGCAGTAAGATAACTTTTAGCAAAATGCGTTTACGTGGTGTGTCTAAAAGCTACAATAGTTTTTTCGTTATGTTCATACACCCAAAACCATCTCAACCAACATCTGCCTCGTTCTTTTTCCTCCCCGAGATGTCCCTAAGGTTTTCATTTGTTTGCTGATGACCATCAAGCACAGTTTTTCATATTTTCTCACTCCAAAATTTTTCTGACGGCTGCCCTGACGGATAGAGTAAATGCACCTACATAGTAAAGTGTTACCAGTGATGACCTTCCTAGAAAATTTTTTTAGTAGGGAAGGGACAGATGTCTTTCCAAATGAAGAGGAAGATAGTTTCAAATTTCGAAAAAAAAATTGGCCTGGAGGGAGCCGCGACCCAAAAATTCTTTACAGGAATAACGTAAGTAATCAGCTAGTGCGCGGCATTTTGTAGCTTATGAAGACCACTTTCAAAATTCAATATTTTAAGCATCAGTGACAACAGTAAATCTGCAATTTTTTTGGACCAGATACATTCGTTTTTTGTGTCTCGGGAAGTTCTTGCCTTCGGCACTCATTCTCAAGAAATCAAAACAAGCTTTCTGTAACGATGAGGTGGAAGGTGGAAAATGATAAACGCGAATGACTTCGAAAATTGTATTCTACAGACGAAATAGTTATCATAAAGTTCATTGCATCCTCCATTTGGTATTTTCAAATACGTAGTCACATATGGCCGTTTTCGTCTCAAATGACTCAATCTCTCAGCCACCAATTTACGAAGATTATCGATTGATAGCTTGGTTTTATAATTGAAACAACAATTTAGGTGTACATATCAATAAATTGGCAATGAAACTCGATGTGTCAATTCAACCGATTGGAAAACTGCGATGCATGGACGTTGCAACTTGCGGACGCGAATGCTTCTACTGCGATTTTTGCAAAGAGAGCAGGTCTGAAAATCCCATTAATCTTGATGAAATGAATATTCTCTGCTTATTATCTATCATCGCTCTTTAGAAAAAATCGCATAATTTAGAAAGCTAAAGCTACTGGAAAATACAGACGGAAATCTGTGTAGAGCTACTGCCGAAAGGACATATAGATTGACCGTAAAACTTTGCCCACCACCACAAGATCCGAACTTCACTATGTGTTCTGCGTTTTCCAAGTAATCAGCTGTTCTCACAAATTTTGTGCAACATTCGTAAGATTTTTATTGCAGATCAGTATGGCAGAAAGATTACTGGCAAAAGCAAGGAGCTGTAGATGTCTGGATGAAGTTCTACGAGAGAGGGCAAACTCGTCCTGAGGTTTGTAATAAAAACAGTGACTTTTTTGGTGACAAAAATCTATATTTCAGCTGGAAAAAGAATTCTTTGCACAAATAGACAATCCACTGCTCGGCAAAGCCTTCAAACTTGCAATAGTTGCTGAATGGCTAGCAGCAAACAGCCTTGATGTGAGTGAAACTTTCATAAGAAATTTACCATAGATTTATCTGTTATTCTCGATAATTTAAAGATTTTATAACATTATGATTCAAAGTTAGCCATACAGTCAAATCCCAACTTTTCTTTTGGCTCACTTGAGAAATGAGCTATACAGACATTACAAATAATTATTTTCTAGTGAATGTCCACAACCCCATCTTTTTGCAGCAAGGATCCTATACACCAACTAACTCTGAGCTCCTGGAATTTTGGGTCTCGAAAAGGGATCCGGATCGCCTTCTTGCTTGCCAGCATGCCGTTGTCGACTACGAAATTGAGGGTGCCAAAGTCAAAACAAACGTTCTGTTCGAGGCAGCGACCACAGCTAATTCGGTGAGAAAATTGCCAGTCATACTTCACACTATTTGTCAAATCAATCTTGTAAATAATAATCCCGTAATCTTGATCATCGATTTCCAGAAAAGTCACAACTTCAAAGTAGCAAAATTCCTTCAAACAAAATTAACATCTTTGCGGTCTAGCAGACGCTTACGATATTCTATTTCGTGATTGTTTTCCAGATCCCCAACATTCTAAAAGACAAGAAGTGTGCAGCTTTCGAAAAATTGCAAGAGGACCGATTCCAACAAGAAGCACAGGCCTACAAAAAGCAAGCCGGTGGCGGAAATTTCCTCAGCGGTTTGGGAGGATTTCTAAACACAGTACGGGGTTAACTTACAAACGCGGTGCTGTCAAGTTGTATGTCTTTCGCTAGCAGTTTTGTTAGCCTATTCTTCATAACTGATAACTTATATCGTGCCGGGATTACACTGCCCACCAATAAAGATCTCTATTTCTGTGTACATAATAGAGCAATTGCACTTTGGCGAAGTAGGAAGACAAGGACGTTCATGCTTTGTCTTGAAATATGAGTTCTGTGCAGGAAGAAGCTGCAAAGTATTTTCTCACACCATTTTGGTGCTCTGCAGAGAGTCATGTTCATTGAGCTTTCTAAATTGTAATATTGAAGAAAGGAGTCGAAATATGCACAATTGCTTGAGGATTTCTGCCTCTTGATAGAAGGTGGTCTGAAGTTGGCAATGAAGTCTAAACCATTCAAAGAGTTGGGATATTCGAATTATTTTTGTTTCGTATGATAGATATTGAGTTTATGCATATAAAACTTTTGATGGAATCAAAAATCGTAAACAAGGATTCTACGTTCGTAATTGTACAAACAATCGATCAGCACAAAAACTCTCGGGTTCACATAAGATCTTACCGAATCCTTAAGCATTTTTAGCGATAAAAATTGGAAATAGTTCAAATGGTCTTTTTCGACAGCTTTTGTCGCGATATCTCAGTAATGGTCAATGTAAGCATTACAATTGTGAATAGCTCACGATTTACCGTCTCCAAGATAATCAAATAAATCAAAGTGGTTAATGTTGGAGAAAATACATAGTAGACGCGCCTTTAAACGCTGTTTCCAAATCTGCCTTCCTTTTTTGAGGAACAAGTTTTTGAAAGAAGTTGTGAGCGTTTGAATGTCCGAATTTGTCGAGGGTTAGGTGGCCTAAAATTGGCGAAAAGAGTGATCAATCAATTTTGTATCAAATACATTTGCAAGCAAGGAACAAAATCGGTGGAAATCGCATGTATTTTTCTAGAGCTTCTCGTTGATAAGCCACTCAATGCTTGGCAAACTTGGACTTGAACGCTCATAACTTTTTTCGGAAACCTGTTCCGTAAAAAAAAGAAAGCAGATTTGAAATCAGCTTTCAAAGGCGCGTTTAAAGATGTACATCCCATATTCAACCGTCAATTAATGTTGGTATCCTTTCCTTATTAGGAGGATCATACGTATTTGGACATCTGAACGACTATGGCTGTGGGCAAAATCTTGTTCTCGGATGTTGGCTTCTGTTTCATCATATGTGGTTTAATTTAACCTCTAGAGCTTGCTTCTGTTACAGAAGGTAACCGCTATAGACATTCACCAATCGGAGCAATTTTTGTCCCAAATGCATTGGTAAGTATCCACCCAACTGTAGCAGTTTTGGTGTAGCCAACGTCGGAGAAGTCTCCCGGCAACCAAATTTAAGTTATTCTGCAGTTGAGAGAGCGTGAACCCTACATAAAGCACAAAGAGTGTTTGCCCCCCTTAATCATTCCAACGAATCTTGCAGAAATATACTATGCGCTTCTCAAAAGTGCATTTTCATGAGATTCGATTAGTAAGTTTTATGTGCAGTATGCTAATGTCATGAGACAGTATCGAAATAAACAAGTTATATTTTTGTTGATGCATAATGTTTGCACCAGAACCTTTGAAATTTTATTGGTTGAGCTTTCCAGTTATCATTAAATCTTCTGTTTTATGCGCTTTCAGGTGCTCCAGACAAAATTTCTTGAGGATATGTGGCAACGATATAAGCTGATCAATAGGAATGCCCAGAAAGAAATTTTCCGCGATTTGGCCACTAAATTACTAAAACATCTACCATAATTCAAATTTGTTTTTGAGCTTAAATTTATGAAGAACTCCCTTTAACTAAGACAAGTTGGTAGTGATTTTGCGAATAATCAATTGCAAACGATTACGAATTTCGATTTTTTAAAATTGACTTATTGACTTGTTTTATGCTAATTTTCTAAAGTGTACAATAAACTATTACTTTTGGTCTACATAACAAAAAGCATATTCTGTAAATTGATTGATTTGTTTGAGCATTTTTTAAATAATTTTCTCCTATTTTTGGTACAAGAAGTGTGCACTAATCTAATACATACTTTCACATTATACTTTTCTGAAGCTATGTACACTTGAAATCTGCTCCCATCGTCGACTTCTGGATTCATGTCTATGTGTTCTTCTCCGATTGTACTTTTTTTCAAAACTTCGCTCAAGAAGAGTGTCATCTTGTACCATCCAAATAATGCATGGCAAGAATAATATTTTGATTTTGTGAGGTCTGAAAACACCCTAAACATAGCTCCCTAAAAAACGAGTTCCCTCACTATTTTCTTTTTCCCATGTCGTGGTAGACCTTGCCAAAATTGCGTACCTGCAATAATGAATGTCTCACTACCTACTCTTGTGATTGATTTTTGAGAATCTAACATGGCAAGAGGTCAAAAATGCTAACTATCACGCTGATGTTTCTCTCCCGATAGTAAAATATGATGCTAATAGAGGATATGTCCCAAATCAATTAGCGAGATGTCAGCTAGTTCATTTGGTCCATTAGTCGCTTCAACTTGCGCACAGCTGATGGATACGAGTCCACGGGTCCCATAAGCTTCAACGGGGCTGAAAAGGGCGAAAAGTGCTTCCCACCAAAGATGTGTCCGATGAGAGTTCAGCAGTGAAATTCAGTATATGTTTCGGGTTTCAGATTTCCCATCGGATTTTATGCGAGGGTGGCGAGATGGAATGTCATGCAATCCATCAAAAGCATCACAATGCTGCAAAAACAACTCATCGTGGTCTTGTTGTGTTTTTCTGCAATCACACCATCTTACTCGTTTCGAAGACCACTTAGTCATTTGCTGAGCGTCATTAATTAGCTAGTAGTAGATCATTGAAGACACTTCCCGCCACACCCGCCACACCCGCCGGAAGTTATTACGCTCAGCTTTTACGCTATGCTGACAACATCTATTCACTTCACTTCTTCTTACAAAGGCATTTACCACACTCGAAGTTAAACTTCGACCTCCGTAAATCCACATATACAAAGCTCTCCTGACTCTTTTTCCCCTCGATAATCTCTCCGGCACTAAGCCGCGCTTGTCGTGATGAGTTATTATGAGATCAGGAGAACTCACTTCTCTTTCGTGTTGTGCAATTCTTTACTTTCTTTGCTTCTGCCACAGTCATAAAATTAAAAACTCTGCAGAACTCTTAAGGAGACTGGATATGTTTTTTATTTTTCTGCACAAAAATTTGGATAAGGCCATAAAATTCGTAGGAATAAGTATTTTTGGAATGCATCGCGTGGACATAATTTTTTTTTGCAAGCTACGGAATATACAATATACCGTATACATTAACGAAATGATGCTATGTCTAGAAATCCCTATTCAAACGGTAGCCTTTCCAATCTCATTTATAATACGATCTTGACTTAGATTGTGCGATTGTTTCGTATATAATAGGTTTAAGTAGGTATGAGTGGTACAAGTGTGTGTAAAAATTTTTAGTATTTTTTTCCTTTTTTTAGAAAATTCCGCGTTGAACAGCTAAATTCGATAAAGATGTGAAAGAACATGCTTGGCTCTGATAGGCAGATACAAAAATGCATTTTTTAAGAGCACTCAAATCTTTGCCTTGTATGGTACACTTCGTTCCTCTACCGCTTTAATTTCTTTTCTTAAAAACTGCGAGTATCCTCTTAGTATAAATAAAGCCTGTAAATTCAAAAGCTTTAACGGTGCTAGTCGAAAAATCTCAAAAATCCAAGGTCTTTGAAAAAATGAAAATAATTTTGAGTAGTGCATAATCGAACTTAAATTAGCTCAGATTCCTGAGAGAAGATTTGATTTTCCACAGGGTCACTAATTTTTTTCAGACGTAAATGTGTTTGACAGTGGTGTTGAGTAATTTTTTTTTACTTTTATCCTTCATTGGTCTTTTACCGTGCACGTACATTTCATTTATTCATTTTGTTTTTCTAGAGTAAGTAAAGTTCAGGAAACGATTTTCGCCCATTTTATGACAATGGAGCGTGAGCTCCGATTGAAAGCCTTCATAGAAGAATATGCTCGAGTGGTGCAATTGTTTGACGACATAGTCGCTATGAAGGAATCCATGGGACGGCTCGAAACCTATATGGTCATAATGGTCTGCCAGATGGGTGGTGCTATGATTGTGAGTAACTATTTGTCGATTTAACTAGCTCTAATTCTGCCTGGGATATCTTTCCGTGTTCCCGTGCATCATCGATGTCAATGTCATTTCGCTTTAACCGCTTTTGATGGATTGCCGACCGCAGATTCTCTTTCAATGTAATAATCGAACATCATCGACGTCTGTCAGCTTTGTTATTCAAGCGCGTTGTGCAAAACCATAAGATCAATTCTTCGGCAGCAATTCTTCAGCATTTCTTCGCCTAATCACCGTAATGAAGAGGTGTGAAGGGTGTTCGCATCGTCGCCTGCTCAGAGACGATTACTAAGCTGGCCATTAGCGAATTGATACATGGAAATTAGCCGCGTATGAGTGCTCTCGAATATATGACACGCGGCGAGTATACACGTCTAATTTGAGGAAGATCGAAGAGCTTAATGATGAAGGAAAGATCATAAGTTTTGAGGATGTTTGCTTGAGCCAAAAAACCAAGCTGTCACTTTAAAATTCCCTTGTTCAATATTTTCAATAATCTGTTTTTTCTTTTTCAGCGATTAGAGTTCTTCTATCAGAAAGAACATTTCATGTGCATCCCAAATAAATTGTGAGTTAGCTCTTCTTGTGAAACTAAATCCAGCAAACCAGACAATTCTGCTTCCCCAATTTTTAACAAGGGGACCATGTTTAGTCGAAGTGGCCTTTTTAAATGTGATGTACACCATATTTTAAAGAAAATTACTGATTTCAAAATTACACTCCTTGTCTGCGGACTATATGGATGAGGAGTTCTGAGTTTAACTAGAACAAAAAATTATATATGCAAACAGTACAGCTTGTAGTATATTTTCTTCTAGCGCTTTAATGGAGCACGATAATTTTCAGAGCACTTCATTCAAGAAAAACTCTCAGATAAAGATTATGTCACACTTGGCCGCTCTATTTGAAGGCTATGAAAGTTTAGAAACCCATTTTATCCCAAATGTTCTTTCTGCTTCAATAAACGCTCATAACTCTTCGTCCACAAAAATTTCGCAGATATGGAAGGCAAATTTGGATTAAGCATTTTATGTTCTCTAATATTTTATACAGACCATGTAAAAAAGTGACTTAACTAAACATGTTTCCCTTGAAGTTGCTCAAAAATCAAAACTCCTAGCCTCGTCATGCGCATGAAAAACAAATTTCCTTCAGATTAACAGTCATTCTCCATCCTCCGTCTTGCTTAGCGCTGAGATTTCGCAAAGCTCTTAAAGTTTCAAAATTACCACATATACGCAGTGTGCTGCATTGTGGAAATAATGTAATATTCACAAAGCGAGTGGTTATGTAGGAAGTAAGGGACCAAAGTGCGTTTTCGAAAATGAAAACGGAGAAAATTAAACTGCAATTTATATTTGCGAAGTAATTTCGCTCTTGTTTCATTTAAAAAATGCAAGCTATGCTATTTTTATATGAAATACACAAAATTTTCGTGATTATCAGCTAAACAAAGTGCGATTCAAATCTTGCATCTGCGGATTTTTCAAGTACTACTGAATACATTTCGCGATATATTAGAGCTAGTGACAATTAATAAACAGGTGGCATGAATCAGCGAGCGAATGTTCTACATCTGTATTTTTTCCTTTTTTTCCTTAATCTGACAATCATTGCTACCAATTATTTCCGGGTTTCACTAAACTGTAAGGTCAATACTTGGAGCAATAACGAATCAAGCCAGATCATCTTTGGATAAATCTATAAATCAATTTGGCAGTTGTTAAAGCCACTGCGTATGGAGTAGACAAGATTCCACAGCACAGAATTTGAGTCTATTTCGGAGTTCATAGCAATTCGTAGCTTAACAACAGTGGGAGTCCCGATATCCACCGGAGGGGGGGGGGGGCAGAGATTTTTCAAAGGAAAACCATCCGCGAAAAGTTTCTGGGACGACGCATCTCAAAACTTCTGCAGGGTCACAACCCAAAAAAGAAAAAGGAGCGCGCAGGTATCCACGCCCCAAATAAATTCCTTACACGGCTAACTTTAATTCCAAATTTTTAAAATTTATTTCAGTCATTTAAAAATGCTAACAGGTGACTAGCACATTATAACTCATGTAAGTAACTTTCAAGTTTTTCGCGGCCCATCTCGGGAAAGGAGAGCACGCTTTCCCCCCCCCCCCTCCTCTCTCCTTCTCCCCCCTGGGTACGTCACTGGTTAACACGTTGACGACCATACAAATTTATCGTCGCCTGCCTACTGGAGTGAAGTCCACGACGCAACAATTTTTACTGTGAATTACGCATACTGCCATCTAAAGTATAGCTACACTAGATAGTAGCTCTGAGAAATTAACAAAATAGAGCGAGGTTGCTTTAAGATCTAGTAAAAAAATTTCACGGTCTGGTGAGTTTATCGTAAAAAGTTATTTTTACGGAATCTGATCCTTGAAACGCCGTGTCATGCGATAAGTAATGTGAGCAGTAATCAGTAAGCACTATGCGATGCAGTTCAGTTTTAGATGGCTGAAACCTTTGGAATAATGGCCATATGAAAAGAATGGAAACAAGTACAACATTTTCAATAAGTTTCGTTGGTGTGACAAATTTATTTATAGGCTGTTAGTCTCTTCCTACTGCTGCGGTTCTGCCAGGCACAACGTCACAGTGGGGAATATCAGCTGGAACACAGATTTGAAAGAAATCCTGTAGTACCTTTGGAAAAAAAGATTCCTCCATGACAGGTGGGATACACTCATGTTCAAATAATGCGTGGGAGGTTCCTATTTATTTTAGTTAGCAAGCCCATGCAAAAAACACGTCACTTTCTCTCGGACATTATCTCTTTCATATTAATCTCATTTGTGTAAGAGTTCACTGCCCGTCACATTCAGATTGATAAGCTCTTGCTGCTATCTCCTTTAATCCCTATGACCATTTGTTTTTAGCTTGAATGCTGATAGAATTACAATTTGTCATGACTTTTCGATTGTTACTAACCAGACCATTGTAAATAGCTCTTGACACCTCTGATTTGCATATTATCTTTACATCAATACATAAGCTTTTTGGGAGTTGTTGAATACAGCCTAATATGCCCGATATGCCCTAAGGTGCTATTGTAAAAGTGTTGTTCAAAGTAAAAATTAATATATTGATTTTGCTCGTCTCCGCTATATGCAAAAATACCCTTTAACTCTCATCATCGTGTGTTATTAGATGATAAGTTATTGACTTATTTTATTTATCTTCATTAAGGGCCGCATGCACTAACATCCCCGCTGGGAGGGGATTGCAGTTTAAAAGAAAGCTTCATATCTGAAGCTACAGATACTTGGATCATTTCACGCTGTCTACCAGTCCGTAAGTATTCCTACTACGCTTCACTATGAACATATTGAATATGAGCGAGAAGCTGTACAAGCCGCATTTTCCAGGTTTTGTATGATCCCCGATGATCCTCGGCGTTTTTCTACAAAGTCATTTTTTCTTTTTTGAAGTTAATGAAAACCTCCCTAAGTTGTACTGATTATTTAACACAACAGCGCTAAGCATGTCACTGATGAAAATAAATGAGTTTTTGAAAAATCGAATTTTTCGATAAACCCCAACTTTCGACTTGTGGTTCATCGCAAATTTCATGACTCCGATACATCACTTGTTCTTATCAGCAACAAGCAGTATTGGGTTAGATAATCTGCACAACTTTGGAAGGTTTTCGTTAACTTTGGGGAAAGGAAAATGACTTTAAAGATAAACGCTGGGGATCATCAGGGATCATACAAATGCTGGAAAATGCGGCCTGTACAGCTTCTCGCTGCTGTTCGATGTGTTTCATAGTGAACTATAGTAGGAATACTTAGGCTCCCGCCAGAGTGCCGAAGTTATGCCAGCGCTACGCCAGCATTTCGATCGATACACGTGATTTGGTTGGGGCGGGGCTAGCTGACGTCCCCAACGAAATACACGTGTATCGATCGAAATGCTGGCGTAGCGCTGGCATAACTTCGGCACTCTGGCGGGAGCCTTATGGTTACGCACACAGCGTGAAATCCAGATATCTGGAGCTTCAAGATATGAAACTGTCTTTTAAGCTGCGATCGCCTCCCCGCGGGGTGTTGGTGCATGCGGCCCTTACTCTCATTCAGAGTGATTGCTTTGAAGGTAAATAATATTCATTTATTCATCCTTGCACTCAAAGGCAGCGTTCAGGCAGATCTGGATATGGATTTTACCTGGGAAATACTTTTGGAGCCCTAACCAAGGCACTGCTCAAGCTGCAGCGCAGGTAGTGCTCTAACGGCTGAGATAGTCCCCTCGATACTGGACCCCGCGATCGTATTCGCATGGATTCATGGCAGTTTTGCGCTTTGAATCCATGCGAAATACGATCGCGGGGTCCAGCTTCGAGGGAAATATATCAGCCGCTAGAGCACTACCTGAGCTGCAGGTTGGGCAGTGGGCATTAGGGCTCCAAAATTACTATCCACATGAGAGCCTCATAGTTCAGATTTGCCTGGACGCGCCTTTAAAGTGAGACCGCGATCAATGAAAAGGTCTGGGCAACAGTCATAAGAAAAGAAAAAAACTGAAGTTATTTGGAAAAACGAAAAACAGCAATCGCTAGGAAAGTCAGTTTAATACCACTATGCTAACAGAACATGACGCTGAAACTATAAAATCAAAAATTGATTTTGATATCCTTGATACCTTTGCTGAGTATCTATCATAGTGAGCGATTGTAAAATGCTAATGCGTTTTCATTAGAAACATGGTTTCGCGATTGAATAATATGAAGGGCACTCACCCAGATAATCGCCGGGGCAGGCGGCCATGCGATTTTTGGGCAGGCGGGCATCGGAAAAATAGTTCGCTGATTTTTGCGATCCGCTTGCAGATATTTGAAAGATTTTTAGCGAAATATTGGACGAATGCTCGGAGAACAATCGCGTTTTTTCTATAGATTAGTTGCGGCGCAGTGGCCGCATTCTCTTTCCGCGAGAATCATACAATGTTATTGAGTGCCGCACAGTCCTTTGTGGAGGATCGCGCCAGCCCATGGTTACCTTCGCTGAGAGAAAGTACGCCAAACTCGGGTAATCAAACCAACGAGGACACCTCTGCCACACAGAGTCTCACCTTTGCTCGACTTACGCTCGAAACTGCATGAAAAGAGTCCGAGCATTTTCTGAAAGTTTCGCCAGCGCTCTTGAAAGAAATAATTTGAAGAGCACTTGCAGGTTGTAGGGAGTTTTGTATTGTTGCCCGCTGGCAGAGCACGGAAATACCGCTCGCTGAAGGTTTGGCCACGCCCCAAAATCGCAAATTGCGGAGTGCTCAGATATACTGATGCTGGCTGATGATGGGGATTGTCGGGGTTTTCGCGCATTCTCGACTTCATATTCGGAATCAGGGACGTGAGAAGGCCCTGAAACGACAAAAACGTGGAAGTCGAAAATCTGGGTGGACGGTGCCTTTAAACACACGAAAGTGGGTAACCATTCTCAAATCAAGTACAATACATTTAATGCCTACAAAGAGCTAGTAGAAATTTACATAGGGGCTGTTGTAGAGCTCGCTGTTTCTGAACCACCCAAAGCTTGAAAAATTTGCACATTCAAATGCTCGTAACCTCTTTTTTGAGGAGGCATTCCGCAAAAAAGGAAAGCAGGTTTGGAATCAGCGTTTGAAGACGCATTTAATGATGTATTAGGGCTAAGAACTAAGTTTTGCAACTAAATCTTGCTCTCGTTTAATATGAAGCACTCAAATTTTGCAGGTATATACATTACGAGTAGCAACTGTTCCGCCGAATTCGACGGTTACGGTAGGTATGTGATATGAAGGGGAAAATCATGAATTGTTTCTGAATTAGCTGAAACTTGGCGTATGGGGTTATCGAGTGTGGGGCGGAAGGCGACAAACCCCAGATTTTGTGCCTTTTAAAACTCTTAGTTGCTGAAGTGACACGGCGACAAGGTGGGAGGGTGGGGTGGGGGGCGGGTGGAAGTGGGGGCAAATACATGATTCGGTGCCACAAGTAAAATTTTGTAAAAGTTAGCAAAAGCGATTTTACACTATTTGCATTTTGCGCGCATTGTCGCCTTCCGAACGCCCCCCCCCCCCCCCCCGGCTATCCGACACGATCACGAGTAACATAATGAGTTTCACGGTAAGGGGTTTTTTGTAAGATTTGTAGATTTACGATATGGGGTCTCACCCTAAACAATAAAATAGACGTTAGTTTGACAGACGAATATGATATTCGTATTCAGCAGCTTGAATAACCTACTATGTGTGAAATCCCCGCGGATTATGACGTTGCCACTCCTTAATCGTTAATGGTTGTCCCCACTAGCCTTGCGTGCTTTAACTTCGTGAAGAGCTAGATCTTGGTCTTTTAACTCTATTCCTTTCCTCAATACCGATATGCACAAGTCGGCGTTGAAGTGTGTAGCGGGGCTCACGATCGCATGGCACATCGACGAGCTTGTCGTTTTTGTTATTGTTTTATTTTTTACTCTTTGTTTTCTTTTGTTTGTTTATTTTTCGTGTGAGTTTTCTCTCAGGCATAGATTTATCATCGATTCCTGAATTTAACCTAAAAGTTCTGTGTTTTTTATCATATTTGAAAAACATTCCAACTGTTGAATAAAATAACTACATTTGTTATGGTTCTGACATTGAAAAGAGCGTTGTATAATTTCAGTTTCCTGTGTATTTTATTCAAAATAACCAGACAATGTAATCAATACAAAAAATTGTAATGCTAACTCGCATATTTGCTAACGCAAAATGAGATTTACAGAAATTGACAGTTGCGCAAGTTTCATTGAATGCAAAGGCCCTTTAAAATGCAGTATTAATCTGTTAATGAAACTATCTTACAAAAAAACGATCATAACAATATTACCTCACAATATTGCCATGTTCTCACTATTGAATTACCTATTTTCAAGAGGTTGCAGTTTTCATTTACCAAAAACTTAGAGTATCACAATATGTAAATTGTTTATTTCTTCTCTACCTAATATCACTTATTTGCCTCTCCCTTCAGACCTCAATTTGTGCCGGACAAAATGCGAAAAGAGGAGTAGTGACATTCCTCTTTCGAGCTGTTGCCGTGCAGAAAGATGGCAGATGGTCATCGACCTTTGCCGTCTGGCCGAGAGAGTATGATCTGCTGGCATACATTTGCAAAATCTGCAATTAGTGGCTGACAAGAAAGGTGCAGCGGTTAGTTGTTGATTGGCTTCCGGATTGCCACTTCGGTTTACTGTTCCCAGCTTCGCCGACGGCTCGCGTTCGCTCCAAACTTTGTTATGGTACCATATCCCTTACTGACTTTCATTCGATGTTCGATGTTATTCTAGGTTAAATTCAGGAATCCATGATAAATCTATGCCTGAGAGGAAACTCACACAAAAAATAAACAAACAAAAAGAATATAGTACAACACACACGAAACTAGAGCTCAAGGTAAATATTATCAAATTCAAATTGAAGATATTCTATACATGATTGACATATTGTTAGACTGTAGTTATGTATGCTTTGCTGGAGGAATATTCAAACAAGTGAAGGAAATACCACAAGGAGCATCATGTAGTCCACAAATTGCAGATCTAACCTTAGTATACATGGAGTACTCCTTCATTAAAAAACAAATGAGAGAAAGGCAAAATGTTGCAATTTTTAATTATACTTTTAGGTACATAGATGACATATTACACCTTTCCGCAGATGTGACCAGGTTTACCAGTAAACTGAAAGAAATTTATCACTCTTCATTAGAAATAGTGCCTACAACTGTTAGAACTTGGAGACAAACTTTTTGGATCCAACAATTACCACTAAAGATAGAGGGAAAAATGTTTTGTTTCTATAACAAAACGGACGATTATATAATAATTTTGAGGTTACTAGGTATCCAAACTGGACGTCAATTATACCAAGATACATTCTTCTTAATACACTAACATCGGAAGTTTCAAGAATTTATAGAAATTGTTCCGAATACTCAGATTTTAGAAGGAGATTATTGGAACTATTATTATTGGAACTTGTTAGTTTAACCAAAAAATGGTTGGGATGGCAATAATTCTTTT